CAAGACGATAGTGGGCTTTGATCTGAGGAAAGTTCTACATTGGGCCGAAGCTCATAGTCATTCTCACCCCGTTTGGCCTTACTTTGTGAGCCTCCTGATTATGCATCAACTCATCAGTTTACCTTACACCTCTTGTCCCTTACGTCTTATATCCCTAATTTCCCAAATGGCCCAAGGCGCCTCTCCCGTGATCGTCTTAATAGCCAAAACCTTGATTAGCCTCACCAAAAATTCCCAAACCTACGACATTTTGGTCGATTGCCATCTCGCCCTACTCCAAATTTGGCTCCTAGAAAAGCTAGCCCTAATCCATTCAGCAAAACAATATCCGACCAAATATCGGCTCTATAACTTTTTTGAGAGACCTTTCACCATCCAGGACATACGAGTTAGGGTGAGGATGAATGGCTCGACTGGGTTATGAATCCAGAAGGCGTAGAGATTCTTTGGGTCATACCTTGGTGGAAGATCGGAGATATCAGAATGAACATGTGGGAAGGAGGCATTCAACTCCTTGGGCTCACCAACGCCACCTTCTACTCACCGTATCGCCTGAGGAGGCAGTTTGGCCTGTTTCAAGATGTTCTGACTCTGGTATCTTTAAAGCTCGAGGGTGAATATACATCAGCTTGGCCCGAAGTGATCAAGACCCGTTGGGAGCGCATCTGGGATTACGACAAAATGTGTTTTGATAAATGTCAAAATCTTGTTGTTAATAAAAAGTATTTAGACTGGTTTTGCCGTGTCGGCACTTTTTCTAATCGTACTGCTAGGGCTAATTTTACCCGGGAGTATTTATATCAATATGAATGTAATCATTAAAGATTTAATGAAATTGGCTTTGCTTTTTTTTTCTTGCAATTAATTTTTGGAGTTCAAACTCGATCTTTTAAAAACAGCATCCTTTTTTACAAACCCGTCATCCACATGACATCTTCGACATTCATATGCCATATATCGACATTCATATGCCATGTATTGTCATTCATATGCCATATATCGACATTCATATGCCATATATTGTCATTCATATGCCATCTTCGACATTCATATGCCATATATTGTCATTCATATGCCATCTTCGACATTCATATGCCATTTATCGACATTCATATGCCATATATTATCATTCATATGCCATTTATTGTCATTCATATGTCATCTGTTGACATTCACATGCCATATATTGACATTCATATGCCATCCATTCGTCATTTACATGACATTTTACCCCTGCTGCCATTCACATGACACGTATGACATTATTCATCATTCAATATCCATTGCCATCCCATCGGTAGGCATCATTCACATGATAAGCATGGAAACCACTCACACTAAACACACACGAAACCGCACCCTCGCCAACGAACTTATTAAATTGTTCATCGCTGCTATTGTTATGACTAAAGAGGTCTGATGTGCTTTCTTGGTGGTGTTTTATTTCTTTCTT